AACATGTTAACAACACAAAAGCCATATTAAACACAGACTACTTTAGGCCTGGAAGTAGGATTCGTCACGTCATCACTGAACAACCGGATAGGGTTGAGGTCAGAACTTTGCATCATTTTAACACCTCGATTCTTTTATTTTTCAGCCATTGTGTTATAGATTTCTTCTATTTCATGACCCAATTTCATATTTGACTCTAAAATACTCTGGTTTACAGAGTTCATGATTGACTCAATGACCACAAGGTGCCCAAGACCTGTGGCTACAAAACAACCCCAAATCCTCACCCCGCCTTGCTTGATTGGTATAAGCCATTTTTGCTGATATGCTGTGTATGGTCTTCACCAAACATGGTGCTGTGCATCATTACCAAACATCTCCACTTTAGTGCAGTCGGTCAAAAAGACATTGTTGTAGAATTGTTAAAGTTTGTTCAGACTTTGCTGTCATGTTCTTTTTAGAAAGAAGAGGCTTTCTCCTAGGAACCCTTCCAAACAAGCCATAAGTGTTCAGTCTTTTCCTGGTTGTATTGTGAAAATTGAACTTTAACATGCCAAATGAAGCCCATGAAGTTTTTTTTTTCTTTTTTCACTTTGTGCCTGTTCTGACCAAACTCAGTACCCAGGAAATCCACTCATGGAAAGATTGCCAACTGTGTTAAATGTTTTCCACTTATGAATAATCTTACTGCGGAAAGTTTGGATGTGGCCTCATAAACCTTCCCAGATTAATGGGCAGCAACAGTTCATCATTTCTGATGTTTTTCATCCTTGCTTTTGTGTTAAGAGGCATCTGAATGCTGCAGACCTACAAACTGCCAAAACCTCTGCATGTTTCGAGGTGCACACACTTGATGATGAATTAATTAAGGTTGTACTAAGTTTTTCACAAGACTACAGTCTTTTTCCACATGAATCTAAATACAAGTAAATCATAATTTAACAGTTTTCATTGTTTTTGAATATCAATGTACATCTATAGATAGAAGATTTAAAGGGGGAAAGTAAACTAAAAAGGGTTTAGGACTTTAGATTAACTTATTTGCTTCCATTTCTTACAGTAATAGCTCTGCTCTCAACTAGAGATGGACCGATCCGATATTACGTATCGGTATCGGTCCGATACTGACCTAAATTACTGGATCGGATATCGGAGAAAAATAAAAAATGTAATCCGATCCATTAAATATCACGAAAGCACCTCACAAAACTTGCAACACGCCGTAACTCACCTCAGAACGTTAGCACGTCGGAGCAGTATGCATCACGTGATAGAGCGGCTGTGGCATGCGGGACCTGTCGGTGGTCTGGATAGCATTTGGAGCTTCGCTAGCAACCCGGCATTTCATCTCCGACAAAGTTATCCCCGAGAGAAGTAAAGCAAGTGTGTAAGTCCATCTCTGAATGTTTGTAAAGCATTCCTGCGTTAAGCTTAACAAGCGATATATGGAGCGACTGCCTCTTCTTGCTGCTACTTCAATCATGAAACTGCTTAACGATCAGCTGATCGGCTTTTCTGTCGCGAGTCCGTGTCTCTAGTTTGCTTTTGGCCCACTTTGCACCAGAAAGAGGAAACCAGCGGCTGAACAACAGCAGCACGTTTAAGCTTGATCAGCTGTTGTTAGAATGTATTTAATATTACTTTCTACCAGGATCTTTTTCTACGTAGCTGACGGCTGGTAACTGTGCAGGGGCGGATCTAGCAAAGTTTAGCCAGGGGGGCCGATAGGGCATTAACAGGGAAAAGGGGGCACAAAGACATACTTTTCTTTCTTATTCTCATTTAAAATGTCTAGCTTTTAATAAATAATTATCTGACACCCAAAGTTTTAATTTGATGTAAAATGAATAGAAGTCAATTACTGTATATAGTGACTATTAAGTCTAATATATATACCCTAGTAAGCTATAGTACTTTTTCCTTTGGGAAGGTACCATCTGTGCAGTCTGCAATTTTGTTGAAGAAAGATGTTGAATCTATTTAATATTTCTTGAAAAATAATTGATTTCTGTGCATTTTTTTTCACACTGCATCAAATTAAGGTTGATTACGTCGATTAAGCATCATGAGGTGGAGCGTGAGGGGTGGTTCCCTATTTTTTATTTTTATTTTTGTTGTTGCTGGGAGTTGGAACCCTATTAGTTAGGTTGCTTAATATTTAGCTAAGTACTCTTTAAAATACCAGAATAGGGAGGATGGTGTAGGTTTAAGTTTATTAGATTGATCAGTATTGCTGAACTATGAAATATTTTTTTTGCATACAGGTATAACAGAATAGCTTTAGTGTAGTTGTTGTTTTAAACTTGAGTATGAACTTATACAAAATGCAGCAAGATATTTAAAAAACAGTTTTGTTGATTAAAAAACACTATATCGGATTCATATCGGTATCGGCAGATATCCAAATTTATGATATCGGTATCGGACATAAAAAAGTGGTATCGTGCCATCTCTACTCTCAACTGGATAAGAGGCAATTTTATAATGTCTCCTTTAACAAACATAAGAAAGCTGGCTAAAATAACATTCTTAAAAATAGATCTTTATCCTAACTTCCAATCAAAACTGAAAATTAGAGGTTAACACTGAGTCAATAACGCTATTGTTTTTTTTATTTAAAAAAGGTTTTTTTTTTGGTTTTTTTGCAAATGGGTTTAAACGTTCTATCCAAGTACTACTACTTTGTTTTCACATTTTACAATTTGTCAATGGTTAAATTTTTTTAATTTTGTCCACACTGGGGGAAAATGAGAATTTAAGTAGTGTCATATTACAATTTAAGTAGAAAAACATGAAATTGAATTTTCCTGTGAGAGCGTTGACAGGCCAGCAGGTAGAAATTTATTTTAAAACCCCAGATTAGTCTATTTATGTTCCTGTTATCGAGTCTTTCATAGTAGGAAATATAGCATACAACACTTCACTTTCATTTATTTTAAATCCCACTTAAACTGAAAGAAGTGTTCATCAGATTGTACCAAGCCCAACACGTATCAACAGAGTGGAAAATACAACGACAAGTAGAATTTCACAAGAAACAAAAGCAAACTTGGATAAGAGTACGAAACAATACACTTAATTCTGCTCAACAGGTGTTTTTCTTTCCCTCTTTATCCCTTTAATCCTTTGGCGACCTCTCCGTATTGTTTTTGGACCGTTTCCTGCAGGTCAGGAACCATTGCTCCAGGGTCATTTAAGTATGTTAAGAAATTTGCATGCAAGAACAACGGGGGCCGCTTCAGAACATTTGTGCTGCATGTTTCACAGTAATTGTTAAGGCTTTGGAAAGCAGTGTATCACAAAGTATTTGAAAGTAACTCCAGTTTCAAACAAAATGAACTTTTGCCACATTAACAGATGTTATTTAAATCCAACAGACATGAGTTATCAGAACAGTGCGAGTGTGACACTCACCTTCAGGGTCTCCATTCGGCTGAAGACATTATTAGATTCCTGCGTGTAACAGTGAAACAGTCACGAATAGTACCGACTGTAATCTAGGCCACAAGGTTGTAATGTAGTATATTCAGGGCTTAAAAATTATGATTTGCCTTCAA